CCAAGACAAGATGTTGTTAAAGCACACAAAGCCGTTTAGTGAGTGAAGGGCATGTGAAAGGATAAGGAGGTTCGGTTTTGCCTGAATAAGTAAGCTTCGTAAGAAAGATAACCGTGGCTACCAACCTTCGACTCTTTCAGATTGCCTAGAGAGTTATTGTTAGTTAAATGGAGAATATACACGTTAGGGAATGAGACGACGAAGGATTTGATCAGGCGAAACAGAACAGAAGTTCACAGGCCCTGCCGCACTTTCGTACAAACAGTTGATTTGAATATTGTCCGCCTTGAGGAAATAATTGCTCTCTACTTACTCACGCAATTCTGTGAGTAGCATGTACTATAGGCAGGAAAAGTTTTAAGTATGTTCCTAACGCATGTACGGCATCAGACTTCAGACGTATATTTCGTAGATTCTCTCCGGCAGAATGAAGCAGCCATTTTCCGTTATGTCTCTCCAGCCTTCACCTTGTTGCTGTAGGCACAACTAGAAGACACAGACGCCATTCCATATGCTTTACCTCGAAGGTAAATTCGATGTTCTTGCTTTGTTGATTCCTGCCATTTTTTTTGCAAAACATTACGACGCATGGACTTGACTCTATCTACCGCATGAAAAACAGGGGTTTACTTGAGAACTATGGGTAAACTATGTCAACCATTGTTGAACATTTCTGTCCCCCTCCTAGAGTTGTCGACTTTCGTGTTTGTTGAGCAGAAAACGCAGCCTGGCCGGACGGAGATTATTTTCAAATGTTACGGACCGGCATGGTCTCGTTGGAGAGATCTCAGACCTTCGGCGAGGCCATTTTGTTCCAGACACTCAATCATTATCTTGCTATGCACACTGGCTACAAGAGTCGGTTAATGGAAGAAAGACTGAGCGGAAATAAAGTGCTTTTACTTAGTTTATCCCTGAAGGAACATTATAGAAAACCTAATGATTGCAAAAGACGATTTAACGAGCTTTGAACCTAGCTCTTGATGATTGGTACAAATGACGTTAAGTGTTCTGCAGTCATTCTTAATAAGTAAAGTACGGTTTACTTAAGGACTTCACACTCGGCTGTAACTGTCCGAGAAATAATAATTGACATTTATCTGGGTCCTCTGTTTTAAGTGTTAAGGCTGCCGAAAAATCGTTCATTTGACCAGTGAGTTTGTAAAAAATGTAAGTTTACTGTTTCTTGTTAAGCTGGCTTCCTTCTCATGCAACATTTTCTGAAAACTGACTGCTTCCTTGTTTAAATAATTTATAAGCTAGATGAAAGTTTTGTAAAACACGGGGCTAGAAACCCCCGTTGCATACGTGGCCTTGCGCTAAATTCCAAGGACGATATCTGTCCTCTTGTTCTGACTGCAACTCGAATCCTGACTCTATTCTCCCTAGAATTTAGCATAAGATCGCCTGTATTACGAAGAGGGGTCCTTTTACAGTGCCCTCTCAGGGTTTACACTGAGAAGATCGAACATCTTGACAACCCTTCTCGAATTCTTAATCTGTCGTCTTATTTAGTTTGTCATTGGTACCACAATAAGGTTTGTTCTGCAGCCGGAGTTAAATGCTCCCAAGGATAAACCAAATGGTTTGAAAAAACAAGTCACACAGGACGAGACGTCAAATTTGCCCTGCAACCTTTCGATTTGTGAGTAATTTCTATCCACTCCTTGTTGAATCTAAGCTTGCTTATTCGCATGGCTTTCTTCATTGTCAGGGAAGGTTGAAAATATTGAGTGACGGTTCAGTAGTAAAAGCGAATTATTTGATCACATCTGTTTTCCTGTTACCACAGACATTAATGGCAACCATGTGCACAAATTTTAAGTCAACGACCAAAAAGTTCTGGTCAAGCTAGGAGTTTAACATCTTTTCATCTATCGCTTATCCTAGTTGTTTAATTCAAAAAACAGAGAAGCAAACTCAGATAATCTCTCGGCATTCGGGCTGGTGGTTAATCAAATCTTCCGTGATGTAAAAATCATTGCCAGCGAATTGCCGCAGACTGCCTGGTCAGAGTTCATTTGTTCTAACAGTAATATTTACTTGGGTTTGACTGCTTGAAAACGATTAGGTCAATTAATTCTTTCAGACCGATGATGCAGCGTTGTATACCCGAAAGCATACTCGAAACATGGCACGCCCCTCTGACTGCTCATCTTCGGCACTGTTCGAATGAAACAGGACGCCGATTGGTTGACGTCCGGCACGTGGCTCGGAGGCGTGCAAATATGCGGATTGAAGAGAAACGAGAGCCGTAACGCCTGTCAAGGCAGTCGCGCTTCGCGCGGCTCGACCGACCAGTGCCGTCTGGTGGAATG